TGCTTTGTAAGTATGGGGGACAGAGTTTGGATTCCCAGTACCTACAAAACAGCTAAACACTGAGCTGAACTCTTGGAGTCCTGTTGTGGAAAAAGAGAAGTGATGAGCAAAGGGGTAAAGAACAGACTGGAAAAACCCACAGAGACAGTTGCTCTGAACAAGGAGTTCCTGAACTCCAAACTGATAGCTGGGAAACCAGCATAGGACTGATCCAGACCTCTGAACATGGGTGTCAGTTAGAAGGCTTGGGCAGTCTAAGGGACCTCTGATAGTGGAACCAGTATGTATCCCTGTTGTACCAAAGGACTTTGGAAGAACATTCCCCATGGAGGTATACTCTCGTAGCTTAGAGACACAAGGGAGGGCCTAGTTCCTACTCCAAATGACTTGAAAGATTTTGATGATCCCTCATGGAAGGCCTCACCCTCCCTGGGGAGTGGATGGGAATGAGATGGAGGGGGTGAGGAGGTGCCCGGGGCATGAAAGGATGGGAGGAAGAGAGAACTGAGATTGATATGTAAAATAAGTAAAAACCATTGTAAAATTAAACAGAAAATAAAATAAATGCAAGGTGTGTGTAATGACAGTTCTGGGTTCAAGTGAAAGACTCTGTCTTAATACAAAGGCTAGGGGAAGATTGAGGTAGATAACTGCCTGCTATCAGCCTCAGGCTTACACATACACATACACACACACACACACAAACACACCACACCCTACACACACACACACCACATGCTCACACACACACAACACAACACATATGTACATGAGCTTGCATATGCACTCTCACATTAATGTGAACCCATGTACATGAAAACATGCACACACAGACATGGCTTATAGATATAAATAAAGAGAAATAACATTTAAACTGAGTTTTTACATGTAGGGTTGCAGAAGGGCTAGAATACCCCATGGTCCTCATATATCTAAACAGGAGGAAATAATTGAGGAATAACTAATTGTTCAAGAGCACTATGGTTAGCTCGTCAATGAAACCTGCAGAACGTGGATGTTACTATGTCATTCAATGAACCATTTCTAGAGTGATCTGTGTATACTGTGAAGAATACACTTTTCTTTGAGTGTATTTTGAATATAGATTGCTTTAATATTTCACTTTTCTATGAAACTTTTGATATGCTAATGCTTTACAGATAATGGGGAAGAGTAAATATTGAAGCAAAATATATCAAGATGACAATAGTAGTGTGTTTAAGGAAAACCACTGCTCTTGTGAAGCTGTAGCCCCTGCAGGAATTTATTTCCCTTCTGTTTTCCTTATTTCTGTTGTTTCCTCCTTGAATCACTGCCCAACTCTCTCATCTTCACAATTGATTTGTTAGGTATAAAATATTTCATTGAATGTATATTATTATAAAACTATCTCCTGGATACTGATAATATAGCGATGAAGAGTGTTTGTTCATTCGGGAAGCTTTTATTTCTATTTTGATATGTAGAATATGCTGTTATAAGGTACATATGGATAATAAAACAGTTACTGTTGTGAAGCAAATTATGAGCTGTCATCTCATATAGTAACTGGGGGAGGTGGGAGAATAAAACCTGTTTGGATAAAACAGCGACATGTTCAACTACTTTCTAACACACTGTTCCTTTTAAATATTGAGATTTTACCTATAATTATCAGAAAATGACATCATCATTTAAAAGCCTTTATCATATTGTGCCATGACTACTCCATGACAGAATAGATCTATCACGCTGCTTTTAGACCTCCCTAAAACACCGCTCTGATGAGATTTTGGGGCATTGTAGTAACTTGAACAAAATTGTGTTTGTGGTGAAAAAGCTAATGACAGGACAACAGGAGAATTGGAGGAGTGAGACCCTCATGACAGAGACACTATATTGGATACTATCACAAGAAAGCAAAATGGAAACTTTCCTGAGACATCTGCCAATGGCTCTAAATTAAAAAAAAATAGGCAGGCTTTAAATATGTATCAATGTGTATTACATACACATGTTCATAAATGCACACATCAGAATTAGATAGTGCTTAGAAGTGACAGGCAAGGGAATAAGAGAAATCTACCTTGTTAATGATTATATTGCATGTATTGGTGATTAACTTAATTTAAGAAATTTTTGGTATTTGGGTTTGGAGATTTGACACACTTGGAATATAAAAATAGATTGCTTTGTAGACTAGGAGTTGGGAAAGATCAGAATATCTACTGTCGTTATATAAAGCAGACAAGTAAAGAGAAACAAACACAGTATTCCATGGGAAAAACCTATAGTAATAACTCAGAGAGTTTAGTGTCTAATTTTACAATATTGAAATTTTATTAAAAGCAGAACAAGAGAAGCTTATAAAAGTTTAGGGAAATTGTAACATATTTTTTGTCAAAAGTGATGTTAACAAAGATTTAAAGTCCTTAAACCTGTGTAGTTTGCACTCCTGTAAGCCCAGCAGTTGGAAGCCTGATGCCTAAGGATTATGAGTTCAAGGGCAGCCACGGTAGGTTATGAAGCAAGTTTTCAAGGCAGCATGACATAAAGTTGTGAGAACTTCTCCCCAAACCAAAGAAAACAAAATATATTACAGAAGGATTACATAGTGTTATTTAATCCATTTTTGTTGCTTAGAAAAACTTTAGGTAATTCACAAAAAGACATATTTTTAAGCTATCAAGATAAAAACTGAGTTCTATTTTATTAACTTTAATTTGGCAAGTTTAAAGATTTTAAGTCAATGAATAAAAAACATACAAAGACAATTTTTATACTTTTCATAATAGTAAACTTTTAGAATAATTTTAGGTAGTCAAGCATTCAATTATAATGGCCTAATGTTTTAAGATATCTAATATTTATATGAAATCAAGATACAAATGTTTGCCTTTGGCTTGTTCCCCTTCACTTTCTACTCTGTTCCTATTATAGAGTGAGTGACCTCAGGCTCAAACCAAAAATCAAATACTTATTTTAAAACTTTAGAAATTAATACACAGATTTGTTAACATTTAGTCACATTTGTGGCTTTAGTGAGTTTCATGGAGTGAAAGTCCATGAATAATAAAACAACAGCAGTCCCTTACACAGTCTCTTAAATTGTTTCATTTCTGGCCAAATCAATGTATTTACCATCTTGAAACTCAGTGTTTCTCCGTGGATAAACTTTGATATTAAATAATTGCTCCTTTGTATTATTAAAGGAGTTGAATAAAAATGTAAAATCTGTCAGTATGCATGGCACATAGTACATACATCATATGTGTTAAATGCCAAGCCCATTTTTGTTATTCTATCTCATTTACTCTCAAGAAAGCTAAACAAATATTACAATTCCATTTATTTTGTTAAAATACACTGTTTAAAATTGCATGACACTTTTGTATTTTGTTTGAAAACAGCAAATTCTTTAACAATTATTAATAATGTCTCCAAATAAATTGTTTGACTAAATCATTCAATAGTCGCTTTTTTTAAAAAAAAATGTCTTTTTTTCAGCATAAATTTTGTTGACATCAATTCCTGTAATGTATATATTTACTTCAAGAGGATAGTGACTACTGTTCATATTATCTAACTTGTGAGATGCTACCATGTGTGTTATAGAACTCATTTTTCATAACTTGGAAAAAAATGGAAAAATTAAAATGAGAACATATATGTGAGACATTTGATTGCCAAAATAATTTGGGTATCTTTTTACTTGAATTAATGTCTCTAAATGTAGTAAAAAATCTACACATTAACATTGGTTGAAAAATAATTTAAAATGGGAGTAAAGTTAGGCTAGTGATCTTTAATGGGAAAATAAACCTTCCATGTTAACCCAAATGCTGTACCACCTTCAAAAAGATTGGAACCTTAATCAGAAACCTAGAATCCATTAGGTTCCCATTCATTCCATCTCTAACATCCCATTTAGTTCATGTTTGTGGACATTCTCTTTGCTGCATAGACCCAGTTAATTAATTCAAACACAACTGCATTATTGATGCAAATATTCTTATGGGATAGTGAATAGTGTTTCAGATATTGTAGAAACACCATGATGTTTCCTCAACACTCCATGTGTTCCATTAAAATCTAATGTGACTATTTTGCAGCACCATAAACTCAGCTCCAACAAAAGCTTTCAAACATCATACAAAGTGTGCTTTGTAAAATAAAAAATTAAATTTACTTGAGGAATTTATACTTCACATATATATAAAGATGTGTTGAATAATTCTGTTAAGAATAAATTTATAGAAATAGTAGAATTATCTTGCAGAGACTCCATGTTGCTTCAAAATATGATAATTTGAAATCTTATGAAATAAAAATTTCTAAGAAATAGAAATGGGAGAATGTAATCAATTGTCTGAGTATGATATTAATTGGCTGCTCTGTTAAATACTCACCAGAGGGACAAAAAGGACCATAAATCTTAGCACCATTTCTTAAACTTCTGATTTAATATCTTGGATTCTTTTTCCTGCTACCTCCACATGTTGTGTTGTTGTCATCACATACTCATGATTAAAATGAAATTATTTTAAAACTGCATTAAAATGAAATATTATCACCTCATTGCTATTATTCTGATTGGCCGTTTTCTGTATGACTTGTAGTGACTTAGCTATTAAAGAGCTGTGTTTATAGGTAATGTAACAGTTGCATCCCCTTGCTTGTTCTGTTTAAAGCAAAGTCTGAGGGCCCAGTTAGTGGCTAATAAGACAAGGCACTGAGTATAGTTATCTTATGTGGACCACTTGCCTTCAAGTGCAATATTTTTCTTATTGTGAAAATGTATACAGTCTTCATTTGAGAATATACAATGAAAGGTGTAGGGTTATTTTAAGTGACAGCACTTTCCCCTTATTTCTGTGGTTCCTAAATTTTATGCCATCTGTAATATCAAACTCCTGCAATCAGCAGAAATTGTTTCCTTATGATGTTCATGATGTTCTGTGACTGAATATGACTTACCAGTTTATACTAACCTTGAAAAATTTTCTTTTTCCCATTTCAAGTTCCACCCAATCTGACTGTTCCACAGGAAAAATCACCTTTGGTCACCAGAGAAGGAGACACAATAGAACTTCAGTGTCAAGTAACTGGGAAACCTAAACCCATCATCCTTTGGTCTAGAGCTGATAAAGAAGTTGCAATGCCTGATGGGACAATGCAAATGGAGAGTTACGATGGGACACTGAGGATTGTGAATGTGTCAAGAGAAATGTCAGGCATGTACCGGTGTCAAACCAGCCAATACAATGGATTCAATGTGAAGCCAAGAGAAGCTTTGGTCCAGCTCATTGTGCAATGTAAGTTAATTCCCTTCCTTTGGTTTCACTGTGGGGATAAAGGAGGAGAGGACAGCACTTCTATATGAATTAAAGTGGTGATTCTTGGATCAGTGTAAAATGTAAAAGATAGCATAATTTCCCTCCAACTTAAATGAAATTTTCCTTTTATCCAGTTATTATTTAACTATTAGGAAACAATTGTCTTTATTGACACATTATGATAGTGTTCAAGCCTGGAGAATCAACAACTATGACTAAAAGCCATCCAAGTACAAAGGAAGTGAGATGGGGATGAAAGTAACTGCTGTTATGGTTACTATTTTCTTTATTTTCCATAGTTCTTTCCTTTTTTAAATAATTGAATGCCTGTGGCCCAAATCATCCATCTATTTAAAGAATGCCTTTGCTTAAGTGTGAATATCTGATCATTGAAATGCTACTTTTGCATGTATGAAGTTGTTACAGTAGGTTGCATAATTATCTAGTAATAGAATTTGTGATAATCTTAGGTGCTGGCTTCTGCTGAATTATCTAAGAGATAAGTGTTTAATTATGATCTAAGTAAGATAATTCTTGATCTGCTTCTACTGAAATCATGGCTGTAGTTCTTACAAAAACTGTAGACAGTATGGGGTTAATATTTTCTCTTAAAAATTTAAGAATTGATTAAAAACCAGCAATATTACTGGTATTAGTTACTTTGAGAAAATGGAAAAAAATCAGCACAAGGTTTTAAAATTTGATCTTATAATAGCAGATGATGGGAAGTATTGTACACTTGTTTCTATGGTGACGGGAATGTGATTCAAAAAAAGATACAAATAGACATCATCAAAATTGAGCTCTTTCACTGTAAGGATAAAGGTGCAAGGTGCAAGGTGCAATGATAGAGTAGGATGCTAGCTGTAAGCTCTTCCACTCAGAGCCCAGTGTCCACACCCTGTCATCTCTGGATGCCAAATACTAGCAGCCATTCCAGGTCCAGCCAGGGAGACACTATGTCTTTCAAGAACCTCTTTATATACATTTATAATTCTTATGAAAAATATGAATATGTATCTGAGAATTTGCCACATACAAGCAACGGGTCACTTTCTAAATGCTCCTGAGAGAATCGGTTTATGTTCAGACCACATCATCCCTGTCTGTGGACACACACTACTCCATGTCTGCATAAGGCTTGCTCCAACGAAACTAAAAGTGAAGAGGCTCAGATGATACTTTTTAAAATAATGAACATTTTAAGTTTTTTGTCACAAAAATACATTTATTTTCCAATTTTTGATAACTGATGCATGTAATATTATTGATACAAAATATAAAAGACTATTCTCCCATAGAAACACACATGTGTACATGTATGTACGTGTGTAGTTTATTGCATCCTATATAACAAATTCCCTTATTATCTATAACAAACTAAGTTTTATTTACTTATATGTATGTGTGGGTGCTATATACATATGTGTGCATATGTACACACAAATGGGCAGACACAGGTGTGAGCATTCATGTGGAAACCAGAGGTTGATTTCTGGTGTCTTCTTCAGTTGCTCTCCACCTTAAGTTTTACACAGATCCTCTCACTGAACATATAGGTCACCAATTAGCTTACAGTGGTCGACTAGAGGTCAGCCTGTTTCTGACAATCTGGCACTGGGGTTACAGATGAACACCTGACATTTATATGGGTGCTGAAGATCCAACATCAAACCCTTGTCTTTGTGCTGCAGCAAGCACTTCCCACAGAGCCACCTCCCTCAGTCTCAAACTCTCTTATACATTGTGTATTCCAAGCATAATGTATTTATATTATGGCTAATTGCTAAAGCTGCTAAATATATGTGAGTACCAGTTGACAAGTATACAAATATATGTTTAAATTTATAAACAAATATAAATATAGATACATACATACTTGGTGATTATGGTGAAAGGGAGGCTTCAGAAGTATCTGAGGACATACTGATTAGTGTTTTGCTAAGTAGACCAGGCTGGCATTGAACTCAGGGAGAACTGTCTGCTGCTGCCTCTGCAGTTTTAGGTCATGAAACACCACTCCTAGAAAGTTAATTAATGCTTTCATTACTTTTTAAACTGTCATGACAAGTAATAGATTTAACCTTGACATCAGAATGGCTAAGATCAAAAACACCAAATGACATCTTATGCTGGAGAGGGTGTGGAGAAAGGAGAACATTCTTCCATTGCTGGTGGGAGTGCAAACTTGTCCAGCCGCTGTGGAAATCAAGACCCTGCAAAACCACTGTTGTGCATATACCCAAAGGAGTCACATTCACACTACAAGGATATTTGCTCAACTATGTTCATAGCCACATTATTGGTAATGGCCAGATCTTGGAAACAGCCTAGATGCCCCTCAACTAAGAATAGATAAAGAAAAATATAGTACAGTAACACAATGGAGAACTGCTCAGTGGTAAGAAACAATGACATCTTAAATTCGCAGACAAATGGACAGAGCTAGAATAAAACCATCCTCAGTGAGGTAACTCAAATCCAGAAAGACAAATATAGTATGTAATCACTCATGAGTGAATATCAGACATAAAGCAAAAGATACCCAGCCTATAATACATTCAGATTATTTTAAAGTATCCCTGTCTTTCTCTTGTTGGTCCCTTTCTCCTCCCTAATAGCTTCTTTCTCCATTTGTGTCAATGTGTTTCATTATATTTATTTGATTTTTTTTCTCCATCCCCTGCTTCAAGATTTCTTCCCCTTTTATCATCCCACCCTAACTTATGACCTACAAACACATATCATGTCTAGGATATGCATATGAGTCAAAACTCACATAATTTTGTTTTGTTTGTTTGTTGTTTGTTTTGAGTCTGGGTTATTTTGCTTAACACAATGATTTATATAAGTTTCCCTATAGTTTTATGTTTCCTTAAGGCTTAATAAAATGTGATTGTATAGGTGCCACATTTTTTTACTCATTCATTGATGCTACTTTAGGCTAGTTCCGTTTCTTAAGTTACAAATAGCATATCAATAAAACATAAATGTCAAGTGTTTTCTTTCTTTTCTGTATTAAATTGAAATTGGGACTTTTAGATATACATTCAGGAAGTAGCATAAGTGGGTCATTTGGTAGTTATATTTTCAGTTTGACACATCTCCATAGTAATTTCCATGGTGGCTACAGTAGTTAATATTTCCTCAGGCTTCTCAAGTATTTGTTATCATTTGTTGACCACTTTAAAAAATGTACTTGCTATTTGTGTTTTATATTATGAGAACTTTAGTTGAATATATCATGTATTGATTAGAAGATTTGAATTTTGAATATTTGATCCTTTTTCCTTTCTTTATGTATTGTAGTTATAACTCTTTGCCAAACATTGCATTCCCTCCTAATCTGTAGTATGTATTCATTGCTGGTTATTTGCTCTATTATGCAGAAAGTTTTAAACTTCACATAATAGCATTTGTTAGTTATAAGGATTATTTCCTTTGCTATTAGAGTCTTACTAAACCTAGATCTTGAAATTATTCCCCTATATTTTTTCCCATAGTACTTTGTATTTCAGGTTTGAAATTGAGATCTTTGACAGATTTTAAACTGATTGTTGTGTGGCGTGTGAGACATAATCCAGTTAATTTCACACGTGGATATACAGTTTCCTCATCATCATACCAGCACTTCTTGTGGAAGATGTCCATTTTCTGTTATAAGTTCTTAACCTTTTCATCAAAATTGAGTGGTAGTTAAATGGATTTATTTTGGTGCTCTTTTCTATTTTATTTGCTTACATTTTCTGCTATCTTTGTCACTATAATTCTGTAATGTACTTTGAGATGAAGTATGGACATTCATCCATCATTCTTAGTTCTGTTCCATCAGGATGAACCTGTAGCCTTTACCTCTGAGTCAAAATGAAAAAAAAAAAACCCTTATGTTCTTTGGTCAATGTGTTTAATAAAACAAATGATGAGTAGCTATGACAATTTCCTTCCAAAGAACTCTGCTGGAATTCTGTCTGTAGAACTAATGTGATCAGCACAGAGATAATATGAGAACCATGCAGTTTTCATACTAAATATCAACATCAATTGAACTTGCTTATTTCAATTGAACTTTATACTTGATTCTTGTGACCTTTAGTTACCTTTATGAATATTGAAAGGTTGCATTGGAAGCACGAATGACAAGCTGTAACTTGGCTTTTAAATTTACAGGCAAGGGTGTCATGAAAACTCTCCCCTTGGAACTGCTCTAGTCTTACCTTCTGAGGGAGCATCCATGTAGAATATTTTCTTTAGCCATGGGATCTTGATTTTACAAACCCACTTTATACAATAGACATGCTTCTTGGCAAATATCTTAACTTTTATGGTCTTTACTGTTTTTATTTTGAACAAGTTTGCATTTCTCATTAGTATTTATAGTCTCAAACTGGCTTAGTTAGGGTTTTTATTGCTGTGAAGAGAAACTATGGCCACAACAACTCTTATAAAGGAAAGTATTTAACTGAGGCCGGCTTATAGCTGAGAGGTCTAGTCCATGATCCTCGTGGTTGGAAACATGGTATCATGTAGGCAGACATGGTACTGGAGAAGAATCTAAGAGTTCGACATCTTGATCCACAGGCAGCAGGAGACTCTGTACCACACTGGACATAAGTTGAGCACAGGAGACCTCAGATCCTGCCCCCTACAGTGACACACTCCCTCCAACAAGCCTGCACTTCCTAATAGTGCTAAGCCCTATGGCACAAGCATTCAAATACATGAGTCTGGGAGCAATGCATGTCTAGTCAAATCAATACACAAACTATACAAAGAAATAACAAGAGCAATGCGTGTGACAAATAAAAGAATGGGGAATGTAGTTATCATTGTGATTCTCATTTTCTTACCATATAACTTCTGCAAAGTTTTAAGCTCCAAGTCCCTTTCCTTACATAAAGATTATTCATCCTATTTCCTATGTCTTAGCTTAGTAAAGCTACTACAACAAAAATATAAACTGGATAGCTTATGGGTAACAG